ACAGCATCTACCTCACAGGGTTGCTATGAATATAAAATGAAATAATATCGATAAAGTACTTAGCGCGGTGTCTGGCACATAGTAGGTACTTGTGTGTTTCCTTCTTTCTTTGAAAATGTAAAGTCTTTTAGAGAAGAACCTGTGTCTTATTTCATGTTCATATCCCAGGGCCTAAGTGTTCTCACAAATAGTAGGCACTTAATAAGTGTTCACTGAATTGAATTACCCTGGACCCACATAGTACACAGTATTATATTTCTGTTCTATATTTTGATCTTGCTTAAAGTTTTGGAAAGCACTCTATTAAAGTTAAGTAGAAAGGGAAAGCACTGTGGTAAAGATTACTGTTTATCATGCACTAAGGTAACTGGTTTAAAAAATTCTAGGCAGTTCCAATAACAAAGGAAGAGTAGATCCCACTGCAAAGAAACCAAATGCATTAACTATGAGTCTATACTATCACAAAAAGAAGTCTCTAGGAACTTTTGTGGTTTTAATGACATTAATCATGATAAAAATATACAATGATAAAATAATTCAATCCTACAGAAATTCTGCTTTAAAAGCTATTTCATGGAATAAAACTTCTTGTGCCCTTAGATTCAATTTTCAATCTATTGCATAATGGCTCTTGAATTACAAGAGAAAAAATAAATTTGATTCCAAATTTTACCATAAAATTGCATCCCTGGTTAGAAATAAAAGGTAAGAAAAAAAATATATTACCCACATAGTTAACTTGAGGGAGAGTTGTTAGAATGTGACAGATGCTTTTCCCCATCTTCTCCATGTTAAAGTAAAAAGGCTAAGGTATTCCATTCTATATTCTGAAAACAGGAGTTTATACTAAGAAATCTCTGTCAGCAATAGTAGTTCAATAACAGCATAATGTCAGAAGTATTTATAAAAATGCAAAGACTGATATAAGCAATCCTATATCAAAAATCAGATTAACTGTAAAGTAAGTGTCTGATGTCTCTACTGATTCCACTAAGCACTCTACTGCCTGCATTAACCACGAAAATTTACACAAGGCTTTCCACGTGATTCAGCTCTGGACACAGAACTCATTGAGACATGTTAATGTCCTAAAACACCCCTTTCACCACATAAGCTCTGAATAGGCTTAAACAAGCACTGCCTGTGGGTAACACTGTAGAATTTGGAGCAGAGTTTTATTGTCTCCACCAAAATCAGCCAGCCATGGAGCAACAAATCAAAGTTCCAAAAAGCACCTGCAACATTCAGTTATGCTCCAAGTCAAATATTTGCAACTTTTTGTGTCCCAAATCTGCATAAAGAAGGTATGTGGATCATAGGCTTTTAACCTGTAAATCTACTGCCTGTTAGTGAGCCAAAATAAACTAGAGTTCCATCCCACTAGATCACTTGCTTCCTTCAGCTAAAAAGTCCCATCCTCCTGTCCACGAAAGATTTTTCACTAACCTCTCTATCAGAACAAAACTCAAATGCTGAATTATCTAGTATGATCTGACAGCTGACACAAAATTCATCTTAAGTGGTTAACACAAGATATTCAATCTCTGTGAGGAAATGCAAAGCAGTCCCCCTTCCTTACAATCATTCTCAAATATGAGAAAATGTAGTATTTTTTTGGCAGTAACTCAACTGACTTTTTAGAATAGAGGAAATGAAACTAAGAGTCTAGCCAGATTTCTTGCACTAAATTATAAAAAAAAAACAATCTTCAGAATTGATCATCAATTTCTTGCAGCTTACTACACCATGCTTCAAAAAGTTACAAAAACATTACTTTTTTTTCTATAGAGTTGAAAAGCATTTTCTTACCATACTACTTCCAAAACTCAGAGAGCAAAATGGAAACGATCTTGTGCTTCACTAAATCAGATCTGAGACCACAATTTGCAGAAAGTAGGTGTTGTTTCTCTGAGTAGGAGCTGCTGATCTGAAACCTCCTAAGGGAAGGGTGTCTGAAGAAGAGAGTGTCAAAGAAACTAAGGCAAGCTGTTTGTATTAATGAGAGTGAGCTGCTGGCACTACTACTATCTCAAGAGTTGCACTGCTATGCAATTGTTTCCCAGTTTCCAAGCTCCAAACCTGGCAAAGAAACTACTGTTCTCACAGCCATACATGTTATATGATCAGCTGCTCTGTGGTGTGTGGGTGTTTAACTAGGTAAGTGAATGGCTAGAAGAGGTTCTGCAATATTAAACCAAGGAAGCACATTTTCCTCTGAGATTTTAATGCTCCCAAGAGGCTGTCATTATACTATGCCAACAACCAAAAAAACACCATATTGGAAATTCTGAAATTGTCTGACTGCTTGAAACTATCTTCATCAGTAAAACTGAAGGTGTGACATAAACAAAGAACATAATACAGCTGATGATATCCAAGCCACTTAAACATATGTTTACAAAATAATTGTTTTTTAAACTGACATTTGCACCATCAGCATGTCACTTGACTTTATTACTTTACATTAATTAGCTAATTATTAAGTGATTATTGGGATAAATAGCATTCTTTAGTATGTGAAAGTGATTTTTAGATCCAGATTCAAATGTTATCTCTTGCCTTTAAGGGCTGATTAAAATCACGATCAAAACCCAAAAGATATTAAGATTAAAATATTAAGAACTTCAAAGTTTAAGAACTTCTTTCAACTGAATAATATTATTAGAATTGTAAACTAGTAGGGATTTGAACTGTTTTTAATGTGATTTGTATAATTTCCAGGACAACATTCAATGTATTTGAAAATTTAATAAATTCTTCTTGATGTTCATGACATTTCACCAAAAGGCATCTGATTTTACTCTTTACCTGGTGGTTGAACTAGTAATGTTAAATTCCTAGGTGTGCTTGGACTCTAAACAAAAGGAATCTAAATTCCCTTACTACTAGTGCAAATACATCTCAAAAAAGCATTTTCCCCCTGTTCATTTACACACCTACTGAAATTGCTGATACTTGGTACCATTTACAGGCAATTAATTCTCATATTTCTAGATAATCAAGAGATAATTCAAATGGTTACATCCAGAAACAAAAAGCCCCCAAGTGATCTAAAACAATATTTAATAAAGTTGTGGAAAACTATTAGCAGACCAAATACACGGGTATAGGTTTTTGACAGATTAGGAGCAACCAACGTCAAGCCAACAAGATACAGACACCTCTTAGGCATTATAAAATAGGTCATACGCTCTTACCTTACTCAAAATGAAGGAGATTTCACATATTTATCAATCTACTGATATCTACACAAGTTGTTTTGACTTCCAACTTCAACTTTTCTTGCAGGGATTTCTTACATATCTTTTTTCTGTATTTTCACAGTGAAATTAATAGCTAATCAACATGTAACCTTTTAAAAGTATCTAATCCATCCTATTTATTATACAGAAGGCTACAAAGTTAAAATAGATGCTTTTAAAAAAATTATGCAATTGATACGATTCCTAGAAAGAGATACTTCCATGACCACTGGGATTCAGTTATACTTAAACATTATATACCAAGGCTTACAAGACCATCTTAAGTACAAGTTCACAGTTAAGATGAGAACATCTGAACTGCCAAAGCTGACGGGCTGTAACTCATCATTCACAAATCGATCTTGCTTTAGAACATCCCTCCTACTCAGTACACACAGCTCAGCAACAGCTCCTCCTCATTCATAGTGCATCTACCGCTGTCAACAAAGCATGTGCCAGTTACCATTCCCAGAACAATAAAGGTTTGATCATCTTCCCCAAATATACACATATATTGCCCCTCAAAACATCACCCATTCGTTCACTACCTCTGGCCTACAAATGTTAAACGTAAAAAGAAATTTTCCCCAAAAAACACACATTGTATGCCTCCAGATCAAACGGAAATGCTATGTATTGCTATAACAATCTTTTCTCATCTTCTTATTACTAGGGTATGGCTGAGGCATTCAAGAGATCCATCAGAAACAGCATGAGGCATTCTATGACAATGATCCTTGACTCTGGGGAAGGTCTAAGGAAAATACAAATCCGCCTGCAAGAAGCACCCTAAAAAACTGGATGAAGAGGGGTGGCATCTTCCAAACGTCAAGGCATGCTCCAAAAGCACATGCATCCCACACCGACACAACCCCACCACTCCCCCGAACTGGCTCTTACATGACTAAAGCTTTTCAAGAACCAGGAATTCAAGGTGGTTGTATGATCAAAAGATTCGGCACTTTGCCATAAAGAATACATGCATTGTTAGATAACGCATTCAGAGAAATTTGAAGATTGTATGTAGATTGCTCTGAGCAGAGGAATCCAGAGGCACCTGATCCACTCCAGATATCCTTTGACAGTGCACATGGTGTGTTGGGGAAGTAGCCGAGTGACACTACCTTCAAAGTCTCCATTCTAGCAACCTAGAGCCAGGTTGGAGGGGAAGAGGGTGTATTACCCACTGGGGTGAGTCTGCTGTCGGGGGAAGGGGTGTTCGGTGGATGCATTTTCTATCCCAGTGACACAGGCTCCTTGGAGGCTGGAGGTTTGGGCGCAACCTCAAGGCGGGGGGAGGCAAAGATAGGTGCAAACCACCAGCTGCAGAACAAGGAGAATGCTAGCAAGCGGACCTGGTGCAACCCTTCCCCCGCCCCCCCCAACCCCCCCCAACCGATGCAACCTCCACCTCCCCCCTCGGGCCTCGGGGGCAGCAAGCTGGCCATACAAATCGGAGCGAACCCCGGCTTCCGGGGGGGAGGTAGGAAGGAGAAAGCCGGGGCCCCCCCACGCCACCCCCACACCCCCGTCATGGAAGCGCCCGGGGCCTCCCCGCGGGGCGGAGACCGCTCCGGCCTAGTGCGCGCAGCCGCCGCCTCAGGAAAGGGTTAACCCGGCCCCCGGAGCCAGGCCCGATCCCGGGGGGAGGGGGGGAGGAGGGGCGACGGGGGAGGCAGGGGTGCTGTCGGGAAGGGCCGAGCCGCGGGCAGCGGCGACGGCGAGGTGGGGGGCGGGAAGGGGCCCGTCCGTACTCACCCGGGCCGGCCGCCCGCGCCGCCTCCGCCGCCGCCTCCGCGGTCCATCCCTGCGGCGGGGGGCCTGTCGCCGCGGCGCTCGCTCGAGTAACCACCGCCCGCCCGCCCCGGGCCGGCCCCTCCCCCCTCCCCTCCCTTCTCCTCGTTTCCTTTCCCTTCACTCCCCAACAGGCTCTCTAGTGAGGGCCGCTCCTCAGTCCCGGCCGCCGCCGCCGCCGCAGCGCTACGTGGCCGCCGCTCCGACGTCTCGCGACTCCCTTCCGAGCGCGCGAGGGCGAGCGGGGCCGGCGGGGCGGGCGCGCGGGGAGGGAAGGGGCGGGGGGGGGTTCGCGTGTATGTGTGTGTATGTGTGGAGAGGGGAGGGAGCTCGAGAGACAGCACGAGCGCCTTCCCCCTCCCCTCCCCTCCCCCCCTTGCAAAGAGTGATTCCTACACCTCCCTCCCACTCGCCCCCCCTTGGCATCCAGACCGCTGTACAGCACCAGTGCGCATGCGCGGCCCCTCTGGGGCTGGCCCGGGCGCACCTTTTCTCTCTCTACTGCCACAAAGTGAACGCTCCGCCGCCTAGATAACCGCCAACTCCCTACTCCACCCCCGCCTGCACCCCCCTCCTCCCACTCTCCAGCGCCCAGGTAAAGGCCGCGATTGCGCATGCGCACCACCTTCCCTTGGGGAGGAGGGTGGTCACTGTAGTGAGAGGGGAGTGGTCACTTGGGGCGTGGGGGAAAAGGAAGGTTCCAAAAGTGGGGTACTAGAGGGTTCGGGTCTAGAATGAGAGAGAGAAGGGGGAAAGGGGGTTAGTAGCAGAAAAATGGAGTTTTGGCGAGGGTTAAGAGGGAGAGCACTGGGATTTCAAATCAGACCATGATTTATTGAGTGCCTAGTGTGTGCAAAGCTTCGTGCTGGATGAGATAAGAAGAAGCTGGGGCAGCTAGGTGACGTAGTGGATAGAGCTCCGGCCTGGGACTCGGGAGGACCTGAGTTCAAATGCAGCCACGGACACTTACTAGCAGTGTGACTCTGGGTAAGTCACTTAAACCAGATAGCCTCACCAAAAAAGCAGGAAAAAAAGCTATAAGTTGAAGCAGAGAAGACTGGGGCCTTCCCCTCAGAGAGTCTACAGTCTAGCAGAGCAGGCAGGATATGAATGCACGAAAAGCGAGATTATATCTCGGAGAGAGGGAAGACCCAAGGTAGTTGTTCAGTTGTGTCCAACTCTTTGTGACCTTATGGACCATAATACTGCCAATAGTAGGTATTAGGTTTTCTTGGCAAAGATGCTAGTGTGGTTTGCCATTTCCTTCTCTAATTAATCCATTAATAAACTGGGGTTAAGTGACTTGCCTCGGGTCACACGGGTGGTAAGTGTCAGAGGCCCGATTTGAACTCAGGTCTTCCTGACTCCAGGCCTAGTTGGCTTGAGGTAGTTAGACCACGCTAAAGTGGAAGACTCCCTGTGGGCTCGGGGAGGCAATAGTTAGTAAAAAGGGAAGAAAATCCCTTGCAAGGAACGGGAAGCAGAGAAGTGGTGGGTGCCCAGGAGTTTCAGAAGAGGGAAAGTCCCATAAAACTGTAAAGTAAGGAGGGTTAAATTTGGTTGTCCTCTTTTGCTTAATTCATGTTTATTGAATTAAACGGATAAAGTTGAGGCCCAGAGCTGTTAGTGGTTTGCAGAAGGTCACACAACTGTCATTGGTCACATTACTAACTCCATTAGAAATTAGTAATATCATTAATGAGGTAACAAAAATATCCATCTTCAGAACAAAGGAACCAACATCCTTAATATAGATAGATATAGATATATGTGTATATATGTCTATGTATGTTTGCATACGCACATATACATATATATCTATAGAGGCATACACATGTATGTACATATATACACATACATATACATGTAAGGAACGAGGTGTAGTTACCAAGGACAAAGAGTATTGGTAAGCTGAGATCAAGATCAGCACCTCCTTTCCCCACCTCGGTCCAAAGCTTCCTTGAAGCTTTCCTACTCAGAGTTTGATTGGCCCTTTTCCACTTGGAATTCTAGCTCAGCATCCTTTATTAAAAGCACATTTTAGATTTTCCTACACTGAAGTCACTCTGTTTCACACAAACCTTTTCAGTACAGGTGTTGTTCCCCAGGAGCAGAGAAACCCTGGGGAGTGAAACTTAGAGGGTGGGGAGAAATTGAACTTGACTCAAAACCACAAAAGGGAAAGAACAGAAATTTTATAGACATAAGGAAGGCTCTGATTTCCTGATTCTGAATCTTTCCCCTTCTAAGCACAAAGGAAGGTGTCTGAGTGATTCCAAATTCATATAAGCACCAGATCTCAGTGTTTGTATTCTTGTCAACTTTGAAGCAAGATATTTTCAATGAATGACCTTTGAAAATGATATTACATATAATCAGTCAGGGAGAAAATGTTCTGGTACCCTGGATGAAATCCTTAGTGGAAAAATACTTAAGCAGTAGTAGGAGGCATTTAGTTAGATGTAAGGAAGAGCCTGGTGTTAAAAGCTAGTGAACCCTGAACACAAGACCTTGAGTAAATCATTTGACTTCTGGCCTTATTTTCCTCACCAATAAAATAAGACAATTGGACTAGTTAGTATCTATGGTCCCTTCCACCTGGAGGTGGACACAAAGACAAAAATAATTCCTGCTTTCAGTGAGATTACTGAACACATACTGAACCCACTTTCACTTTAGTGTACCCCTTCCTGTACTTACGGTAGCATTAACAGGTAAGTATGAGATTATTGAGATGGGCTTGGAATCTTCTCTGGTTCTCAGCTAGGCAGTCCCTAAGGCATCCCGAGTTCTCCAAGTTCTCATCAGCTTCTTTCAAGACCTTCATGAAGTTTGGTTCCATGGGGAGCCTTTGTGGGGTAAGATCAATCCAGGCAGGACTTTTGGCTTCATTGGTCAGAGATTCACTGAATGAACTTTGTCTTCCCCAGACCCATTCCTAAGAGGAGTGTTGGCAGATCCTGAACAAATTATATTGTACACCCCTCCCTTCCCCTCCGCTCCCCAAACATTTGTGTACATGTGAAATCATCAAATTAAAATGAACATCAAAGGTAGCCTTAGAAGAGAAAAGAGAGGAAGATTTTCAGGAGTGGGCTGCATGGAGGGGCAATCCTATCCTTGTTGCCTTGAGAATGGTGGGTTATGTATTGACTACATGTATAGTGAGTTATGAATTGATTATATATATCAGCCTCGAGATTGTTTGCTTTGTTGAGTTTTTTTTTCATTGATGCCACCACCCCTCTGTCTGTAGCTAAGTCAGTACCCCGCCCGCCATCATTCAGTACAGCATGCCTCAGTGCCATAGTGTGATTTATTACTTTCTAAGGCTCTAGTCTTCTCTGGACCTCAGTTTCTCCAAGTGAAAGACTTGAGTACTGGTTATCTTATCATCATCATTTTCATTTAAGAGTGTTTATTAAACATTCCTTTGTGCATATATCACTGAGGTGGACACCATATAAACAGACTTGGCCTGTGCCCTCTGGGAGTTTAATCTATAATGGACAGTACAGATTTGGACAAACATCAGGGAACAGAGTGACTCACAAACAATAATGAATAAATGAATGAAGTAAATAAGTACTTTGACACTGTCTACATCATTGTTTTCCAGGTTGGGTGAATAGAACACAGCCCTAATGGGATCAGGTTTTCTGGGTTTAGACTCCTCTTCAGGTCAGTTTGCTTTTCAGCCCAGAGGAAAAGCCTCTGTGATGCCAGCCACAGAATGTTCCATAGCTGTCTCTAAAATGTATGTCATTGGTCATTGGTGGGGACCCACAGGCAAAGGAGAGTGGATAGCTGTAGCACAGTGTCCTTACTGTCAAAAGAATAACTTCTATCTCCTGCCCTAGGGCCAGCAGAACCAGGCACTGCTTCTGTAGTCGACAATTATCTTTCACATTGTCTTTTTTGAGCCTCATTTCCATTTTAAAGATGGAAAAACTGAAACTTTGCTAGCCAAAGTGACTATTCCTCATGGTCACATGGCTAAGTAGTACCAGACTGGAATTCCAACCCAGGTCTCTGTTGTTTCCTTGTGTAGTATTTATTCTGATGCACCGTGCTTCCTTTTTAATGAAAGGCAAGGTGATTTCTTTCTTTCTTTTTTTTTTCTTTAAATTTATAAATACTAGATGGCCCATTATTGTGAAGTGGGAAGTAGGAATTTTCAGTTGCATTTCAGAGACTACAGATTCTTTCGTAGTAAATAGAAAGTTTCCAATTTAGCATCATGTATGATTCCCAGAAATTTTAGGAGAATGAGAAGTGAGAGTCTGTGTCTTCCTTCAGGAGTGCCCCCATTCTCTCTATGCTTGCTGTTTCAGGTCAATATCCTGCCTCTCAATCCAGTTTTGGCCCTTCCTCCCCTACCCTTTTGGCCCCAATGCCACCTGTAGCAAGGTGAACCTGAAGAGTTGAAGCCTGGCTGGTGCTGCTCTCCATTAAAGAGGCCAAGGGTTTCTCTAAGGCACTACTTTTAATTGTTACATGTAATTGACATGACACGTGCCCCAGAGGCATTTGTTGAGGTACAATTTAAGAGATGATTTTTAAAAATTGGAATAAATTAATTAAAGAAGGCAGCTGCATGGGGCTGTGAGGCAATGCCAGACTCTGTAATTCAAAACCACTCAACCCACCCAACCGGCCCCACAAGCAGGAAGAACAATCCCTGTCAGTTCTAGCCCAGGACTGGGCTGAGGTGGGATGAAAGATTTGGGGCAGGACTGTGAGAAATGGGGACTTGGGCAGGCTGTCATTGCTTTCCTTGATCTTCAAGACCCCCAAGAAAGTTGTGGAACCTTATTTAAGAGGAAGGAAGGAGTTAGTAAGGAAATGAGGAGAAATATGAACATGTTGGGGGTGGGGGGGGTGGCCAAAAGGAGATCTGTGGGATTATGGAGGAGAAGGAGAATAAAGGGATCACAGAGATAGGGGCTACAACACTGAGGGTTAGTGGGCCGAAGTAGTGCAAAAAAAAAAAAAGGTTTCTTGAAGAGGGCAGAGGGAGACCCAGGCCTGGAAGGGAGCCAGTGGGATGGAACTGAAGCAGGGAGAAGGTAGAGTCTGAGT